AATGAAGATGAGTTATTTATAACTCGAAATAGCTATTTGCAAATTTATTTAATAAAAATTTTTAATAAAACAATAAAATGTCTAATTTCTCGGAAATTAATAAATTAAAAAGAAATAATGAAAAGTTGAACAATGTTGAAAGTAGTGTTGAATTTTTGAAATGTTATATATATATATATATATATATATATATATATATATATATGTATACAAATATATGGGATGAGAATTTTCGACCTGCCCCCTAAGTATGGTTGTTGAGATGGTGCACTTGTGCACTTACTCGTACTGGCCAACTGTACTTTTGATGGAGCGAGCTAGTCAAGAATTCTCACACTTCATATGCTCACCTACTTGTGGATTCAAGTCGACTCACCATTTCATATATATCTATATATATATTGAGGTATACATCTGTATGAAGCTATATATATATATATATTATCAATATATATATATATATATCATTATAAACATGATTATATATAGGAAAATTTTAAATTAACGCTATAGAATGAGTAGACGATGATGATAATATAATAACAGTAGCGTTTATAATTATTTGTTAATATTAATATTACAATATTTATTTGAGGTAGAAACTTAACCATATGCAACATTACTTTTAAAAAGCTTATTGTATCATAATTACACACACACACGCACACATTCATATATATATATATTAAGTGTATGAATATATAAACGAGGTAAACTTTGATGCAATTACATGAACTGATGTAGAAATATAGTCGCAAACATACATACATAAAAGCATGGTACACACACATACACACAACTACACACATACATATACACATGCACGCAGACATACAAAACAAAGGGACAGACACAAACACACATATACATAGTTGAAAAAATTAAATGAAATACATACATATACTTATTGCATATATGTTTAAATATTCTTAGCATTATATTATGCGAGCTAACACAAAGACAGACAGACTGGCAGGCACATATAAAAACCACAAGCATACATTCAAACGTGCAAGCAAACACACACACACACACACACACACACACACACACACACACACACACACACACACACACACACACACACACACACACACAGATCTATCTATCTATCTAGATAGATGGTAATGGTGAAAAGTTGTAATTTTTATATGGCTTCAAGTCCAAGAAAAGGAAACTCTGCTCCTGATTTCGATGATCGAGCCACGACGATGACGAAGACGAGTAGTAAGAGATGATGATGACGAAGAGTAAGAGATGATGATGACGACGAGTGAGAGATGATGGTGACGTAGAAGATGATTTGATGACGGATACGGATGAAAGGGTGACAACCACATTACGACCATTAATAAAATCCTATTAACTCTTCATGGTTGCTTAATTTGTTGTCAATAATTGTTACAACCGCTATTTCCATCATTACCCTCATCATCGCCATCATCCTAACATCTTAACCACACTTTTATCATCCATATTGTTACTCATATCATCGTATCGTCATCCACATGTTGGCGACTGCTATTTTTATTATTATTATTTCTACTGATGTTGTTATTGCTCTTAATCATCAGGTGATAATGATTGTTGCTATTGCTGTTGGTTTTAATAATAATATTATTGCCAGTATTAACTTTGCTATTATTATTGTTCTTGTTATTTTTGCCGCAATTATTATTATTATTAGTATTAGTAGTAGTAGTGGTAGTAGTCCATTTATTATTAACATCAGCAGCCTTACTGGTGCTTTTATTGTTACTAATAGAGCTAGTAGTGCTAGTAGTGATGGTAGCATTGGTCGTAGCAGCAAAAGCAGCAGCAGCAGCAGCAGCAGCAGTAGTAGTAGTAGTAGTAGTAGAAGAAGTAGTAGTAGTAGCAGCAGCAGCAGCATTAACATTACCACCACCGCCGTCATCATCGTCATCACAAACTCTAGGAAAGTCGTAAATCTCTGCAAAGAGTGCTGGCAGGCTCATGCTGGTCGATCTCACCCTGAAGAAGTCCAACTGCTTCTCGTGGGAAGCTCCTGATAATGATGTCGATTGTGTTGTTGTTGGTGATGATGATTGTAGTGATAATGATTGTGATCATGATGGTTATGGTAGCTGTGCGGATGGTGATTATATATCATTATTTTCCCCTTAATCAGCGCATGGCTATTTAGACGCAGCCACCTTAATAAATCATACTCCTCATTACCCAATTCACTCATTTCAGGAGAGACACGATCATCATTATTATCAAAAGGGCCATCATCGTCACTCATTCATTCACCTTCTCATTTACTCATTCACCCACTCACTCACCAATAATATGCAAGGAAGGTAAAAGGTTGAGTGCACTGGCAGATAGCAAGGGCATTGACGTACGATTTCTTTGCAACTGCAGACAGAAAGCATCTACAACCCTCACCCATAACCTTTGAACTCTGTCGGGGTCGAGAAGGCCCAGGCGCTCTGTATATACGTACGTATCAATGTGTTGCACGTGTCATGGAATTATTATTTTCAGTAATACTTGATAGATGGAACTAAAATGTGAAACATACGCACATGCACATTGCACATACATACGATGTACGTAACGTACAGATGCGTGCATGAATGTGGCCGTATGTTTGTACATGCAAGTGGATGTATGCGTGTTCAATTGTTCATATAAACATATATAAACAAACGCAAGCATGCACTTAAAATATAATTATCATAAAAAAGCGACCAGGTGTGGTGAGGGCAATACAGGTGAAGAGGCCCAACTCTGTGTCGTTCAGGTTTAAGGAGGATATCTGCTCACTCACCTCAAACATCCCGTCAACCAAGTCGGCCTGATCACGATGATGATTACGATGATGATTATGATTATGGTGATAGTAATCATCGTCCTCACCACAAACTTCATCACCACCGCCATCTTCCTCCTCATCATCACAATCATCCTCATCGTCACCAGCCCCATATATGACGTCATCCTCATCGTCACCAACTCCATATATGACATCGAGCTCCCTCCTATCAATGACAGATCCGTCATTGAACATCACACAGTTCTGCGTGCCATCGTAAAGTCGGCATGATCTGGTGTTGTTGATGAGGAAGATGATAGTACTGATGATGACGATCGCGGTGATGATAATGGTGATGATGATGGTGATGATGACGATCGTGACGATGATGATAATGAGGACGATGACACCAACCTGATGAGACAAACTTCGAAGAAAGCAGATTTGATCAATGTTAACTGGTCATCCTGTGCGAGGCTTAGGAATTCTGCAATTTTTTTTATTCATTTATCCATTTATTCATTCATTCTCTCATCTATTTTATTCATTCATCTATCTTTTCATTCACTAATTTACTAACTTCTTCATTCAATTATTAGCTCTCACAATTATCTACCTATCCTTATAACCATCAACCAGCCAAGACATCCACAAGCCATAATTGCATACATAACAATTAATACAAATGTTAGAGTTATGGCTCAAGAGTTTTTAAAGCCTCGCCTTCATCACATCGGTACGTCTTATTCTACATTTGCTCTTCTGTAATTATTATCAGCCGTTTTTTCTGTTGTTCTATCTAAATGGTCAAACCTTCCTCCAAATTTTCCAACAAAATCCAAATGTGAAGTACACAATTTTCTACATACGATTAGAATAATTGCAAGTTATCTTGGCAAAGCGACAACGGCATTGCAAGCCTGTATGTAGAGGAAAGAAATTTCTTTAACCATTCAAAGATGTCTTACTACATGCAAACAGCAGCGAACTGCATTGCTCTGCCAACAAGATTTAAAAAACGACCAGCACACGAAATGTACCTAGGAATCTTGCCAATCTTTAATTATATTTCTTTCATACACTTTTATTTGACAGATGTCTCCGTATTGGCAGCATTATATATGACAGACTGGCTTTGGCATTCACTAAAATTTTTTGCGATCTTTTGTAAAGTAGATATAGACCATCTTAGGCATACTTTCTTCTGTATAGCTATCCATCTGCAAAAAAGAAGTACTACAGATTTAAATAATGCAGAGAATTATGCTGAAGCAAATTGGAAAGCTCGCTTGAATAATTTTTGGGGCCCTGTTTAACTTACGCATAAGTCCAAATGCTAAATCTATCAAACAACCAACCTAACAACCATTCAATTAATCAATCATCCAACCAGTCAGACAGCCAACCAACCAACCAGGAATTCTTTTAGCAAACTCGACAACTTTATTTATAGATGGAGTGATGAGATTGGCCAGACCCTGGAACATGTAACATCTGTAAGACTCTGCCCACTCGACATCGGCTTGCATATGATTGATCGACAATAATGATGGAGGCATCTGCTTGGTCGATTGATTAATTTGTTGCATGTTGATCCACTGCTAAATGTAACCTCCATAACTAAATAATAATAATCAATAGAAACAAAACACATACACACCAGACTACATTTTTTCCTTTCTAGAACCATCACTCGTTCACTGTCTTCATCGCAGTATATCACTTGGGCATGGGAGACAGCCAAAATAACTTCAATCACCGCCATCATGTAATCCTCATCACATTGTTGTTGTTGTTGTTGTAGTTGCTGCTGTTGTTGTTGATGGTGATGTTGCTGGTGATGATGATGATGGTCAGGGTGATGGTTAAGATGGTGATCAGGGTGATTACTAGATGATGATGTGAGGTGATGATGATTCAAATTTGACGGGAAAGAGGTGGGAAGAAATAAAGAGTTAACGTTGTTGCTGATGTTGTTGTTGCCTATGATGTTGTTGATGACGTTGTTGTTGTTGTTGTGGTGGTGGTTTGGGTTATCTTCTGATGACGACGTTGATCTCTTTGGGACTCGTCCGTATCTAACAGCTGTGACGTGATTGGTTTATAGACAGAGTTAACAAATTGTGTATGGCATATTATATGCTGGTTATTTTTAACTTTAAATTTGATTGGCCAGTGTGGTGAGGTGGATTATCTGGCTGGTCAATTATTATAATGTTTTGATTGACTCACTAATATGATTGGTTGAATAATTGGAATAATCATAAATAATAATTTTTAATTTTTTAAATAATAATAAAAAAAGATAGAACAAATTGTTTATTTTGAGTAACTCACAATCTCTGGACATCCCAACAGCAATGCATTTCTTAAATCTGTTTTGTTGTAGATGTTGTTGTATTAACGTTGTTGTTTTGTTTTTGTTGATGTTGAAATAGCAATAAAATTACACTTTGCCACGAGATATACTTTCTTAAACAGCCATGAACAACAACAACAACGACGTTTGTATTTAACGGGGTCACACTCAAATTTTGATGAAAATTTGTTAATAACAGTTTGGACTTTTATTATAAATGTTGTTCAAAATGTTTCTGTAACCAAAATAACATGTTTCCAGCAACCTAATTTTGAAGAATTTTCAAGTCAAAACGACGGAAGGTCTAAATGTAGGTTCTACGCATTTGAAGCCTTTTTTGGCATAGTTTTAAAAATCAGTCATCTGGTCGTTAACTCAGACAGATTTCAATATTTTTCAAGAAATATTGATGGAAGACATCATTAAAAACATAGTAAAATTTGAGCCAACAACATTTTTTTAAAGTACGATTTTCAAAATGTGGTTCCGTAGTGCGCTTTTAAAAAACATGATATTTTTTTGCGTTAGGTTGAATTTTTATCCCCGATTTTGGTGAAATTAATTTAAGATTTTAAAATGAATAACATATCAAAGTTTAGAATTTCTATCTTTTACACTTCCGGAGATATATCAAATTAACGCAATGTCACCAAATGTAAAAAAATATAAAAAACGAACAATAGGCATCCATAAAAATGAAACGCTCATATTTGTGCAATTGTTTTAATATTTTCATTTAAAATTTTGATATGCAGTGGATGACGTGGTTTTTCAAAATTGTCTCAAATTTTATAACTGTAGTTACTTTTAAATATAGATTTGTAAGTAAAAACTATGGAGGTGCAGAAGTGCAGTGTGAATATAACAATGCTCCTAGGCGGTTTGATCAAATTTTGAGGAGTTTTGAAAACATTTGAAACGATGATGATTGGTTTGATCTGTAACATATGGAAAGAACAGATCAGTAGGTCAAGCACTTCTGGAAAAAAAAATGAAGAATTGACAAAGATCATAAAAGGATGAAACATACATAAGAATGAACAAAACGTACAGCTGCACTGCGGTGTAGCTAATGCAACGCAATGTCGCAATGTCGAAATAGTACTAATCATCATTAGCAAAATCATCATTACCATCACATCAATGGCATCATCATCATCACCTGCAATATTGACACCTGTTCCTATTGAGTCTCATGACCTGACACTTGGCATCTCTCAGGCACCTGTACTCCATCTGCTTCTGCATGCTTCGGCGGAAAAAACCCTACAACAACAACAACAACAACAATAATAATAACAGTAATAATGAGCAATAATAATAACAATAAAAACGACAATAATAATCAGAATGGTAACCCACTTTGCAGCCCTCGCACGATGTGACCCCGTAATGATACCCAGAGGCCTTGTCCCCACACACCCGGCAGGCCACAAAGGCCTGTTGCGATGATGACGTCATCGTTGTCGTTGATGGTGCTGCTGATGATAATAATGATGATGATGTACGGAGGGGTGAACTGATTTCACCATCTGGTGATGATGATGATATTTGTGTGGCTGTCGCAGCTGACGGCGATGATGATCATGATGTTGTTGTTGATGATGATAGTATCATTAATGTTTATAACTTTAATAAATGTTGTACCACGATGATGATGATGATTAACACAAATACAAAAAAGTTCTCATACAACAATGAATACTATAAGGTGATCAGAGCCATGAGAGCAAGAGAGAGAAAGAAAGCGAGAGAGAAAGAAAGCGAGAGAGTGAAAGAGAGAGAAAAAGAGAGAGAAAGAGAGAGAAAGAGAGAGAGAGAAAGAGAGAGAGAGAGAGAAAGATTACAGAAAAAAATAAAGGTGACTAAAATTTAAATGAAATGTAAAGAAAATCAAACAAACATTGAAAAAAAGTGTACAACAAATACAGTAGTGCATATATATAATAATACATAAACACATTCACACAAACAAACAAACATAGGCAAAAACACATAAACCAAACAGACACAAAGACACACACACACATATTAAAAAAACACATTTATGAACGTGTATATACACAGATTAAAGTGCTGCTAAAATGTTTTTTGGGCTAGATAACATAACCAATAGCTTAGCTAACAACCAACATTATGTATGTATGTATGTATGAATGAATGTATGAATGAATGAATATATGAATATATAAATATATGTATATATTGTATATATATGTATATATGCGTATATACATGAGCGTGTTTGTTTGTATATATGTAGGTATTAATGCATGTTTTGTTGGTTATGGTTGCTAGGCAATTCCATTCATTCATTTGTTCATATTATCATTATTTTTGTTCATTTCATTTTATTACATTGTATACTTTGGCTTTCATTCATTGTATTCATAGATTTTCTCTTCATTCATTCATTCATTCATTCATTCATTCATTCATACATTCATTCATTCAATCATTTATTATTCCATCTATTTAATAGCCTATTTATTCATTCATTTAACTGTTCAATCCCACAAGTTTTTTAAAACATTCACTTCATTTTTTCTTTTTGTACTCATTATCATTCAGTCAGCCAATCATTTATTTACTTATTCATTCATTCATGCCTTTATCAATTCATCCATTCACTCATCATTCATCCACTTATTCATTCCTTCATCCAGAAAACTCGTTCATCATTTGTTCATTTTGTACCAATGATTTATGCCATAATTGGAATGTTCATTTATTTTTTCTATATGTGTTATTTGAAAGATTAATTAATTCCATCATTTACTCAAGATATTCACTAATTCATCCACTCATTCACTGAAACAATTTCATTCATTCACTCTCTCACTCATTCATTTACATACCATCATCTTGAATGTTATTATAACTTTGCTGAGATGAAGATGCCAAGTTCTGGTGATCGTTAGGTTCGCTCTTCACCAAAACTATGGATTCAGATGGGCTCACTAAATTTTTCCATTGATAGTCTTCCTCGTAAGCCGGTGGTGGAGGTGCATTAACACTAACATTAATATTACTGTTATTATAGGTGCCAGAATGAACTGCTGGTGCGGGGAGGTAGTAAAAATTTTGAGGTAGTTCGTTGGTGATGTTATTGTTGTTGTAGGTGATAGCTTGTTGCTGTGGCTGGTGGTGATGATTGAGGAGATGGTGATTGGTGGGGTGGGGTGCTGAGTAGAGGTGTTGTTGGGTGTGCTGAAGGGATGTGCATTCTGCTGGTGCTATGTAGTGCTTCTTTAATTCCATGTTCTTGTTCATCCATTCATTAGTTTTTAATAATATTATTTGGTTATTTATATTTATTATTGCTAATTATTGCTGGTACTTTTTTTATTATTTATATTTTATATATTATTTAATATTGTTGCTATTGTAACTATTAAATTTCTTGAAAAAGTTTTGTTGTAGTTTATTTTTGAATATTATCTGCCATCTTGAAAAAATTAATAAATAAAATTTAAATTTAATTAAAGTAGCCAAAGAATTCATTTATTTTAGTTAGAGAGATGATTATTGTAACATTTAAATTTTAAAACCTTATAATAGGCTTAAACTAGGAAGTCAATAAGCCCATATCTTAAAACATAAACCACATAACAGAATATATTTAATATAATATGTCATAGTTCATGTTACTTACATACAATCAAAAACAAATCATTGTAACTTGTAGTAAGAGTATATGAAAGTCAAACAACAGTGATAAAGTAATAAATAGCATTATTTCAAAATTTTTAAAATAGGAAAACGTCCATAGTTTTTATACCTTTATTTACAAAAAGAAATTTAATCAGAAAAACAAACCTACCAGAGGGAAGAGAGAGGAGGTGCCTTACCAGGTTGCAGAACCAGAGAAACCATCTAGCTCGTTTTTGAAATTTCGATTAACAAACATGCGAGATGGATTGTTCAAAATGTCTCACGAATCAGAGTTACAAAATAAATTTTTTTTAATTTTGTCATTTCAAATTTTTAAAATCACATTTGTGATTGGAATTTTGATGAAATTCAATTTCGACTTATTAATTTTAACTTTTCGGTCGACAAAGTACAGATGTGGACAATTTATCTAAAGCGCATTCGTGCTAGAAAATTATTAAAATGTTAAAAACCCATTTGCATTCTAAAAGCTTCTTCACCTGTTTTTTTTATACTTTTTACCTCTAATTTTACTTTTATTTTATCTCATTCTTATGAAATACGATTAAATATTTAATATCATGCATCATATTTATCAAAAAACTCTTTTCATAAGAAAATTTCTAATTTTGACATACATTCTCAGTTAGATGTTCAATGTGTTCAACACTCTTCACTCAATGTAACATATCCTTGGTCTTTGTAAAAGTTTAACACTGAACTCTCCTAAATTTAAGTAAATTTTTGATAAAAATGATAAACTTTTCCATTTTTAACATCATTCCTTGCTGATTTCCATTAAAAATATCAAATCTTGCCCTAAGTTATTTGTTACTTAAATTTTCGAAGTAGTATTTTCTGATTTAGTGGACTAACAATTCTAACTGTTGAATTTTAAATTATGTTACTAATTAATATAAAACTTAAATGATAATTACGAAAAATTAACACAAAACAAACTATGAAACAAATCAATATATTAACGTTAAAAATGTTATAAACTCCTTATTTAAGTTTTAACGGCTGGATCAAATCTTCGATTCATCTGTTCCGGATTTGCTGGCCCCCTTTTCAGTTCCCCTATTGAAATTGACGAACTCTTTTGTAACTGTTTGTTTATGGAACCCTTAACAACAGTCTCGTTTAGTCTTTCATTTGATTTGTTCTTGTCTTCCGAAATTGTTTGATTTCCCGGTTTTGCTTTGTCGAGCGATTTTCTTCCAGGCTCCATTTTATCGAATGATTTGTTCTCCGGTTTTGAATGTAAAGTTGACTGATCTGCCGGAGATTTCACTTCATCTTTAATTGGCGCCAACTTTTCAGATGACATTTCCCCAGTCAGGAATGATGAGCCAGACTTACTAACAACTATGTTAGTTGGCGACGCAGGTTTTTCCGACTCGAATTTAGCATTAGTTCCTGACATACTTGGCAAATTTGCTAAATTATTTGATGATTTTTTAGAAAAAGGAAAAAAAGAAGGACTTTTGTCTGAACTTTTACTGGAGTAACTCGTGGTCGGTTCAACTGAGGACAAACTCATCAGCGAGAGTACTCTTTGATCAGTTTTTGTTAATTTTTTCGGTTTTGGTGCCGGTTCGTAGAAAGCCAGCAAGTAACCGTACTCGGCATTCTGCGGAAAACCGGTTTTAATAGCTCGGTATATGGAGGTATCGATATATCTGAATATCGGCACTAACAAGAAGAGCATCACTATTTTGAAACAACACGGAATGCAAACTCCGTAAATGATGAAGTTGGAATAATCCTGGTAGAACACTTCTAAACAGCCATTTTTGTTTATCGTTAACAAGCCCTCATCATTACCTGGCAAATTTTTACAATAATAATAAGAATAATAACAAAAAATAATAATTATACCTAATTGATACCTTTATAAGCCCTGTGTAGGTCCAAAAGAACGTTATCATGCTCGCATGGTGGTTGTGCGTCTCTACGACAGCAACTAAATGGGGCTTCCTGATTGGTTGATGAGTTTGAATGGATGAATGAAAGGATAAACAAGATAATAAATGAATGAATGAATGGATAGACCAGTTGATGGATGGATGGATGGATGGATGGATGGATGGATCAATGACCGAATAGACGAATGAATAAACGAACAGATGAATGAAATATATCATCGTAATAATAACATTTAAGATATATAAACCTTGCTAATTTTACTGATGGAATAATCCCTTGGAAACCAGCGAATTTCGAGCCAGTCTTTGAAGTTTTCGTTGCCACAACATTGGAATCGTTGCTGTGTTAGGTCCATCGCTTTTTTGTAAGTTTCGTCGTAACCGTATTTGTGAATGGCTCTCAAGAAACCGTTCTGATTGGATGGTTTGTTGATTGGTTTATTGATTGATTGCTTGGCTGGTTAGCTGGTTGATTTTATAAATGATTGACAGATTAATAAAAAACTAATTAGAGGAGATACGATTGCTACAGTAACAGCTCACTTTATAAAAACATCTTTACAAAGAGCAGGCATGCCAATTCATATATAGCGCAATTTGTAAAATGCAAGTGGCAAAACAAAAAAATTCTTACGCCATTTTCGGCCCAGGGCAACATAGAAGCTTTGTGATTCAAAACAACCGAGGCTACCTGTTTTTTGATTGAATGAATGAGTGAGTGAATGAAGGAAAGAATAAATAAATGAATGAAGGAAGGAAGGAATAGATACCTCTAAAATGATTTGCAATATCATAATCAAGGTGAGCAAGGTCATGAGTCTCGTGTGACTGATGGTCCTCTTGTTAATGAACCTTTGGGACCAGCAAACTGCCATCCCTGAAATATGAATTAGTGAAAAAATGAATTGGTGGACAAATGATGAATTGATGGATGAATGAATAAACAAACGAAAGAATGCGGGAAAAAAATTAACGAATGAACATAATTGTGAGAGAAGGTTATAACTAAAAAGTTAACACACACACCCCCCCCCCCCACGTATATATATACGTATATACGTATATATATATATATATATATATATATCTCGGGAGAGACGAAACGTACGTCTGGGCTAACGCGGGTAATGGTTTATTACCCACATATATATATATATATATATATATATATATATATATATATATATATATATATATATATATATATGTTGGTAAAAGACCATAATTTTTACAATATTCTATAAATTCTACCGAATGTTTGGTGTTAATATGTTTGTAGTTCGTTTTTTCGATTTTTCTCACTTAAGTTTTTTGGTGAACGTTTAGTTTATTAAAATTCAAAATAAACTTATTTTTCGAATTCATGCTGCAAATAAGGCCATATATCGATTCCGAATGAATCATCGTCAGTGCTCCTTGCCGTATATATAGGGAAATATTGACTTTGTCAAGATGAACTTTGACGTTGTAAAAATTAACTTTGGGGTTGTAAAATTGAACTTTGATGCGAATTAGGTGTCAGGTTTCTTAATTGGCTGGTCATCTTTTTTGGTCTCCTTTTCTTCATCGATAGCATCATATTCTTTTTTGTCACTATTTACCATGCTAGTTTTTATTACTTCTTTGTTTTCGTTGTTGGTTAAGTACCGGGTTGGAAGTGAGGTTGTCATTTTTTGTTGTATATTTATTTTTGGTTTATTGTTGTCAATTAGGACTGCTTCTGCAATTTTAAGATGCGTGTAGTTGCTGTTCTGGTATATTACTTTGGTGTTGCTGTCGAGGATTTCACGGCTAACTGTGATTGAGTGTGTTGAGTCCAAATGAGATTTGATAGCACCACTCTGTTTATGCATCGTAAGCCTTCTAGTCAGTGAGGTAGTAGTAATCCCGATATATGAGTCATGTAGTCATGTTGACGTGCACAGCCGTCAAAGGGGCAATTAAATTCATATATTACGTGATTACGCTTTAACTCAGAGTTATCTCTAGGACTGCAGTTGTTTTTCAGTATTAGGTGAGACGTCTTTTTATTGTTGTAATAAATTCGGAGTTTAACTTTACTATTTGGGTTGGTTGGTGTGACATTTTTATTGATGATATGTTTAAGAATAGCTTCATCTATCTTGTATGCTGTTGACATGTGATTTCTGTAATACAAGATGATGTCGTTATCTTGATTGTTGGTACTAGGAAGGTTATTGCTGTGTAGTAATTTGCCTTTAACAATCTTTTCAATAGAGTAAGTCTTATATCCATTGTTTACAAGCAGGTTAGTGACTCTCTTTAATTCAGCGTCGCGATTTTCAATATCGGAAGAGTGTGCGAATGCCCGGTTCACAAATGATTTTATTGTGCTGTCTTTAAATTGTTCAGTGCATTCACTTTATATATATATATATATATATATATATATAATACAGCAAAATGTTCATTACTTAAAAATGAATTGAATGAATGATGGAACGAATGAAAGACTGAATGATTGCAAGCACACCGAGCAGATGCATGAGACAGCCTGTTAAGCCAGAAACAATTAGGATGTAGGCGAGGTCTTGTTCGGCGCGTTTCTCCAAAGCCGTCAGTGGCGCGTCGTAAATGGAGATGCTACAAACGCCGGCGCAAATCTGCAAGAAGGATAGCAATGTTGTGAAGAGGCTTAAGAAGATGCTGATGATGATCAAGTTGTCCCGCCATCTCTCCGTTATAAAAACTTCGAGAATTAACATTTGTTGTTGTTGTTGTTTTAGGATTTTGTTAGGAATTGTGTTGTTGTTGTTTCAGGATGTTGTTAAGATTTGTGTTGTTGTTTTGTTATTGTTTTTAATGCTGTTAATGTTTTGAACGGTAGTTCATGTGTAGCAAATTCCTCATTAGCATTATTATATTTTGATATTTGTAGCTAAAAATTAAAGTGAATTATAGCACTAAGATCTACTTAATTATGTTTTGATTCATTCTAACTAATAAAGAAATGTAAACATTTAAATCCATTGAAAATATTATTGTTTACGTTAGATATCGTATTTACCGAATTACACGTTATTACATCAACATTGATGAAGAAAATTAATTTTTATTGTTTTCTTTTCATAAAGAAATTATCAAAGTTTAATGCTGTGACCGCTTTTACCACTACTACAACTACTGTTACTGCTTATATTAACATTACTGCTCTAAATAATGCTACCTCAACTATCACTTCTACCACTACTACTTCTACCACTATTTCTACTTTTATTTTTGACGATGAAATATATGTTGAAACATGAAAATAATATTTATAAAAATGACTAAATTTTGACAAATAAAAAATCAAGAAATTTAAGCAATAGGCTAATGAAATAAATAAAACCTCAACAAGTTCAAACATTACAAACAATTTGTATCGTTATTTGAACAAGAACCGTTCTTTACTCGACCGCTTGGATAGTGCATCTCTAGAAAAATTTTCGGAAGAGCCGATGGTATCGAAGCATTTGCTCAAATTTAACTTACGACTATTCAGGAAATTTTTAGTGATGAACATATTTTTTTCCCGAATATTTGCACAATAATCGCCTTCGTCTCTATTGCTCATTCTTTCCTTTTTGTATTTTAAATAATTTTTCAATCCGCCTAACTCATCATCATCTTTCTCACGATCTTCATCGTCAAACAAGAAATCTTGGTTTGAATAAATTGGCGGATTAATCGGCCCTTTTGAAGGTTTGGTGATGGTATCCATTGGTTCGAAACTAAATTGCGAGTATCGGTTTTCGTCCGATTCCTGCTTTACTGAAAGTTTCGATCTGAAAGTCGGAATTGAGATTGTGATACTGCCACTATTACTATTACTCTGGTTATCCAATGACGTCAACATGCTGTTATCTTCTGGCATTGTCAAGTCGGCTATTTGGCGGATCCGATCTTTTAGAATCGGTTTTGGTGGGGGTACAAAGTCAGGTAGTTTCTGAATCGTTTCTGGTTTAATAATGATTACGTTGTTGTTGTTTTTTGATTTGTTAGTTTTTAATTTTCGTGAGTTCAACTTCAAATTCTTTTTCATGAAAACGTCACTATTCTTGCAATTGGCATCTTCGTTCGTTGGCTGTACGTCTTTGTTCGTGTTATTATTACTTTTGTTTGTTCGAACTTTTGCACCTAACTTTGTTTTAACATTTTTTTTCGTCGTACTGTTATCTGTTTGTTTGTTAGGCGAAGAAATTTCTTTACCATTTTTACCGGTATTTGAATCGGATTCACGTGGTTGCAGAACATTACTTGATCCGGTTAACAAATTTTGCATAGATAAATTTTTCTCGCGCTCTTTGACACTTTCGCTGATTGGTGAATCGAAATCATCGGAATCTCTACTCCAGCGTGAACTCTGAATGCTGGAAGTAAAATTTGAAATATTGTTGTCATCGTTTTTCGCACTTTCGGTTATCGTCGTTACTGTATCTTTTATGCCGGTTGATGTCGAACTTTCTGTAACATCGCTGATTATATTTACTGTCGAGTTTAGGTTAGACGTCGTTTCCGACGAGAAGGATGACAATGTTGGTCTAGCGATGGTTTTGCCACCCGTTAACTTGCTAGTCGATATTTTAGAATCAGTTTTTCCTGCAAGAGTCGATGTGGTAGTTATCGACGGATCATCTTTCAAGTTGTCAAAAGATGAGACAAGTATGTTGTTGTTATTTGCAGAAGTTTTTGTCGTATTCGAAGCAACTTTCAATCGGTTGCCGGTATGTTTTATGATCGATTCTGTAGACGAATCGTCGTATGTGACCGACAAAGTCGAATTATTTGACTTAGAAGAATCAAAATTATTACCAATGTTGTTGTTGAATTCGGTGTTTTTGTTATTTTTTGCTTTGTTATCAGCCGTCGGCAACTTTGGCACATTCACAGACTCTGTTGGAATGTTTTTTTGTACCTCAATTTTTGGAGTCACCTCAGTTAATGACGTCACTGATGTTATTGATGACGTCATTGGTTTGGAAATGGTGGACGAGGTTACGGAGAGAGGTTCCACTTTTTTTAAATTATTTAGCCTGACAGTCTTTGAGTCATAAATTTTTGGAGTGTTCAAACTTTTAGGGGCCGATAATTTGATGTGACTAGTTTTGTTATCAATTACAGGTTTGTTGTTATTTATCACGTTCTCTCTTGCGTTTTTGTTATCCACTGCTAACAAACTTCTACCACTGGATGATGATGACGGCGATGCACTCGGCAGCTGCCCGGTTGGTCCAGGTGTCGGTTTTTTAATGCCAATTTCAGGCGATTTTGGTGTATTTGGTGATTTCAATATATTAGATGATTCTGATGACGATAATTGTGATGATGGTTTATTTGCCTTTTTTGATTTCAATTTGGATAAAAAGTTTTTTAAACTCATTTTCGGTGATTTCGATGCGGTTGTTGAAGGCGATACTTCAGCTTTCGTTGATTTTATCTTTGCTAAATCGTTTTTACGATCGTTTTCAAAATATTTTTTTGCACTAGTCGGTGACGAAGATGCCGATCTTGACGATTCTGATGTTGGCGAAAACGATTTTTCATTCGGTTTAAACATCGGTTTAGATTCTTTCATTTTCGGATCAGTTTTTGGCGGAACGGTAATTAGCGGCGTTTTCTCGCTAGCTGATGACAACGAACTCGTAGATAATGTAGGAATGTTAACGACTCGAGCCGGAGAAGATGAAGCCGTGCTTCGACTCATAACTTGATCATCTCCCAAGAATCTATCAATAGTTTTCTTGTCATACTTCACAGCAGATGCTTTCATTTTATCTCTCTTCGCATCCCAAAACTCATCTTCAGTCATTACAAAATTTTTGGAGTAGGAAACGACTATGCAAAGAGGTAAACAGATCAAAACAGCAGCCAGAGCAATTGCGAACGGTATTGTTACAGAAGTTTGGATAAACCGTAAGTATCGGTTCTTGAAGACGAGGTCGCAGCCGATTTTATGGATGGAAAATGAAGTTTCGAAATTGTAGCTGGCGTGGAAGTAATTTTTGAAAATATTTTTGTGGATGCATGGACGGAGTTGGTTCATGTCGCAACAGCTGTACGGGGTGTCCTGTGCAGTTCATTTCGTTTTTTGTCATTTCATTGAAATGATCATCTCATATATTTTATTTTGCTTAATATTATTATCATCATATATAGCAGTTGTAGGGAGGTCAGTTGCACTCTTCCAAAGTTCAGAGAACTCAACAGAGCGAACAAACATCGTAAATGAATACCTGCTAAACGACGCATCACACGCGAAGCATATGATAAGCAGGGGTTTTTGTGTCATATTCGAACCCGGTTACTGCGAAAGAACACCAGGCGACCTTAACCATTAGACCATCAGGCTGTCCTAATAGTAGTACTAGTAGCAGCAGCAGTAGTAGTAGTAAATCGGTAGTAGTAATAAAATATTTTTGATTTCTTTAATTTTCACGGGAATTTTCAAACAAATTTTAAAAATATTTTTGTAGACATTTTTATTTTGTAACATTGATAATAATATTAGTGATTACAAACAGTTAGTAGCAGTAGTTGCAGCAGCAGCGGTAGTAGTAGTAGAAATTGTAGCAGCAGTATTAGTAGTCGTTGCATACCATTTTAGTAATTTTTTAATATTGAAATAAAAAACAAAAATGATGAAGACATATGAAAGCTTTCATTAGAGCAGCCAGTCAGCATTATCACCAGATGCAATGTCATCTCCTCCGTTATCATTTTCATCCTCGTCGCAATTAATAAAACAACTTTCACCATAATTTGCAATCACCATTGTCAACAATTAGCAACATGAACAACATAGTTTGCCACAGCTTACAGACCTGCATGTACAATACTTTCGTAGTGTTAAGAATGCTCTGCAACCGAGCTGATGTCGGTGATTTAAAATGATTCGGATACCAAGGCGAGTAGAACCAATCCTTAAAGTTTGTATTACCGCAACATTCAAGATTAGACTGCATTCGGTCGAATATTATTCGGACATCCGGATCGATTCTGTACATCTTCAGTGCTTTTTTAAAACCGTCCTTTGGTTGAATTAAGAATTTTATAATTGAAATTTAATTTTTTTCTAAAGTATCCGTAAGAGCATTGGAATTTTGTGAAAGTGTTTATTATTTATGTGTTTAATTTTTGTTGAAAAATTTAGCTGCCATTCTTAAATTTATTATTTGTAATGCTAACAGAGCAATCTCAGATTTAATATAGAAAAAAACCCAGTAAAAGCATGCAAGAGTGTTTCGGACGAGAAACAACAACCATGTTAACAAGTATAAACGTATTAAAATAAAAATCTACGAAAAATGAAAAAAATAAAAACAACAACAAACAAAAAAAACGAAAAGCAACCACAGCCAACCAACCCACCGTCATCTGTCGAACTTCAGAGACGCAGGCAGCCACCAGCATCATCGAACTAAACACAAAGACTCCCGTGACCACCAGAAAAACTTTGAAAATGATAAAATTCAACTTGATCTTGAAGGTGTATTGCCAGGCAAAGTTCACAAAAGTCATCGTCCAACATGATATAACGCCAACTGAGAACGTGTACAAGCCGATGACTCCGCATATGACGATCATAGCTGGCATGGCATTTGCAAACTTACTCTCTAATAACTGTAGATACGGGTTGTAGAATATGAAGGCCCTGTGCCCCATGGACAGCATGAAAATGGCCGACAGGAGGCCCAAGATGCAAGCAAACATGCAAACGAATAAGATTCTGTGGGTGTTGGCACGTGATAGACCGTAGAAGAATGGGCCCAGTGATATCTCGTTTTGGTGTTTCCTTATGTATTCTTCTTTCGTTAAGTGGGCAGCCATTTTTTATGATACCACAGTATTATTTCTGATTTGGCTAGGTTAGAATAATCTCACATCAATATGATTACTTCATTTATAAAAATTAATAATCAGGGAGGAAAGGCAGTCTGGAAATTGTTTGCAGTGGAGGCATCGCAAGTTAATAAAATCCACTCGTAAATATTTACGAACCTGACGTCGCTGTTTTCATTTGACGATGAAAAAATTCAATTAAATTAGAAAAAATTGAAAGCTCAAAAATGTACCTGCAGTCCAACAATGCAAAAATAAAATTTACGTTTCATTTTATGGCTGTTTTGGTTTTCTCTCGAAGGTTTCAATTAAATTTGTCATAAATAATAATAACACTTCTCTAATTTTGTGCTGGTTGAACAATTAATTTATAAAGTTTTTCTTCTTCTCTCTCTCACTCTCTCTCCCTCTTTCTTTCTCTCTCTCCCTCTTTCTCTCTCTCCCCTCTCTCTCTTCATTTCACCCATTTTTTAAATTCGTAAATTCGAAGAGTTGCACGAGCCAGAGTTCAGTAAAGTAGTGTGTATGGAGGAATTAAAATGTTACAAAGTTTTGTTTTTAACGACTGTTGAATATTTTTTAATCGCACATCCATGCTGTTCTATACTTATACTTGCAAGTTATACCTTGGTTGGTGCTGCTACTATCCACGCCACGCCACGCCACACCACACCGCATTCATTCACTGATAGATTTTGAGTATCGGACAGACAGTATACGTTCGAACCATTTTTTTTTCTCTCTCTATCTCCTCTCTCTCTTTCTTTCTTTTTCTCAACTTTCATTCTCGTGTTAATCGTTGATTTTTGTATTTTTCGTCTATAGGTGGGTGGAAAAAAGATATAATTTGTATCATGTTTTTGTTCTATAACCATTCGATAAGGGCGTGTGTATGTGCGTTCGTGTGTGTGTATATGCGTGTGTGTGCGTGTGTGTGTGTATATGCGTGTGTGTGTGTGTGTGTGGCTGCGTGGTCTCAGCGATGACCAACCACGCATTGATTTTATTAATTGTTCACTACTTCACTGCATTTTTTCCTAGCCATCATTCGTGTTTCCTCCTTTCCCAACTATTTTACTCCCACTCCTGTTCGCTCCTTCTGTTCTTCCATCTGCTATTTTTATTTCGTTTCGTGCCATTTTTCTCAAATTTTATTTCTAAATCACTTTTATCTCTCAACTTTTATTCTAACTATTTTTTATTATTTTAAAATTTAAAAAAATAATTAAACTTTTATTTATTTATCCATCCATCCATCTGGCCATTCACGCATTCATTCAATCAAATAAAATCAATTATTTCTTCCAGATTGAATTCATTCTTTCTTTCATTTCTCTCGTTCATTTGTTTGCTCATTCATTCATTCATTCGTTTGTTTATTAGCTCGTTTATTCATTGGTTCTTTGTTCATTCGTTCGTTCATTAACTTATCAATCATTGAATAGAATCATGCATCATTGAATCATCCATGCATTCATTCAGTTTTCATTAATTCATTCATTCATCCGTCCATCTATCTCTCTTCTTTATAAGTGCGACGGTGTTGAAACGAGAAGCAGTTGTCATGCTCGTCTGAAAAATAAACAAACAAACAAACAAACAACAACAACAACAACAACAACAACAACAACAAATAAATAATAATATTAATAAAACATAAACAACCATGATACTGACGAAAAACAACAACTTGACATGTTGTACTTGCAGTTATCAACGACAATATTGAAAAATCGTTGCTATTCTTATATTGTAACAAGTGCACTGTTAGTTATAATATTACTACTACTACTACTACTATTACTACTACTACTACTCTTACTCTTACTCTGTAAGGAAATCTCGAAATCTGAAATGATGAATACTGGTACTGTTCAATAAGTT